CCCCAAAAGGCACTACATTTTTTATGACCAACCCTTACCAGTAATTGCTACTAAGTGATTATTGTCAAGTGATTACGTAATCCCCTAAAGATGCTCAAGATGCTAAAGATTTCTTAATGATCCCCCCTTAGTAGTGGTTGCAAATGAGTAATTCCCCTTCAATTTCTGCCTATATTGACCTGATCCTCCCAAGAGGCACTGTATTTCTTCATGACCCCCCCCCCTCCCTCCAGTTCCTCCGACTATTCCAATCTAAGATCCTGATCTTCAGGCTTGCTTGAAATCGAAGGAATCCTAACCTCTTGTTTTATGTAGTCGTCCCATGCTTTGACGACTTTGATCCCTTCTACGTAACCAAGTGAATTCGGTGTCAGCTTCGTTTCTATGACAACTGCAGCGTAAAGCAGCTGGTTGCCATATTTGCCACCTATAAAATGGAAATAAATGAATAGCTGTAAGAATCAATAAATGGATGGATAGATGAGTGGATGGATGAGTGGATGGGTAGATGTGTGGATGGACATATAAGGGGATGGGAAGATGACTGAAAGAATGGTTGAAAAAATGATGAAAATACAAGATATAATGAAAGAATGAATCGATGGAATCAAGGAATGGAAAAAGAGAAAATTCTGGTTTAAAAATACGCCTGTGCTAGAACTGATTACACAATTAAAAAAAAAAAAAAAAATGCAATGACCTCTTGTAATAGGCCGTTTGAATGATGGCGTCAATTGACTACCACTACCAAAGTGCTTCGAAAAGTTTCTTATTCAAATTTGTATTTCCTCATGAGAATAGTATAGTAAGACAATTGGTGCTAATTAACTGAACAAAAGAAAGTGTATAAGAGAGTGTGGTAGTGGTAGTAAATGACGCTATAACGCAAGTGACCTATTATATTTCTCGTCAAATTATATGTCCAAACCAAAGAATGTAATTGAGTTTATTACCTTGAAAAACATTACTGTGATGTGAAGTGGTGTCCACTGTACCTCCAATCATTCCTTCGTAGTTTTTGTAATCAGTGTTGTTATAAGACGTGTTTCCACGTGTAATCCAATTGGCCACAGCTACTTCAAAGTACCTGTAGTATTCATCTGTAACCTTGGTTAGGTCATAGAGAAGAGGGTTGTACTTCATGAGGGTTAGCGCTTTATCGTGGTTTATCGGCATGGTTAAGTCTGTTCTGTTTGGATACTGAATCTTCTTTTCTTCTTGCTGTAGGAAAAAAATAGAGTCCGTTATTGTTCCGTCCCTTGTAAGAAACCGGACAATTTGTTATATCTATCTCCAGCTGATCTGAGAATTATTTTAGCCTCGATTGAAAATAACGTGAATGGAAAAAAATTGCAAAACTAAGGTGTCACTTTTCTTCTTGAAATTATGAATTTGCAAGGCTTCAAATAAAAAATGACGTTGCTAATAAGCGCTTAATGACACAATAGTTAAAGATTTTGATATTTTTATTCCAATGGTGGACATATATGAGAAAATACCGCCCGCTCAAATAGCCAATCAGAACGCACGATTTTTTAGGATACAGGACCGGAAAAAAGTTTATATTTTTCACTGGTCAATTTTCACAGGCTTAAGAGACCTCAGTTTTGAAGTGGTGTCATTTTTTATGTCATAATTATTTCAGATCAACTGGCTAGATCTCCCGCAAACGCAGAAAGACATGACACATTCTTATTGCTTCCCTACATCATTTTACCAGTTTGCAAACCTTCTAACAAAGACAAATACTCTTATGTTTACCTAATACTTGGAGATGTTTGCGATTCCTTTTCTCTGATCATAAAGATTTTTTTCACTTGTCAACGGACGCTTCACGTTCTTTGTAAACGAGAACTCTGTTAGCACTAACCTGTAAAAAGGCATCCATTGCTTCGGCGAAACAATGAACAACTGGTTGGTTGGTAACTGGGTGACGACGGATTTTGAGCTCTTCCACTTTTGAGCTCTGTAAGCTGCTAAAGTTCTTACAAAAAGCCTGAATAAAAAGCATGAAAGGTGTAATATCCTTTGATTCTTCTGGTGATATATAGTGAACCAGTACCCAGTTAATGCTACGCTACGTAGTCTAATATGGCTGCTCAAAGGCAAGGAGAGGGGAGGTTGTAGTTACTATTCAAAATGGAATCTGACCATATATAGGGATCAAACTATTCAGCCGATGACTAGTGGTGGATGGCTAACAATGACGTAAGGCTCTAATAATCAATCCTCTTTTCACCTACATTAGGTATAGAGGCTTTCCACCACCACGCGAAGGCAGCCATGTTAGATGGCAGGAACAATACAATCGTTTTACATGAGAAAGAATTCAATCTCCGAGAGCAAAGGAATTTTATTGTTCTGCCATCTAATCACAGGCAAGAGAGAGGGACGAAATACTCATAATACTCAGAAGGCGTTTGAATCCCAGAATCATTTTGGACTTCTCCTTGTCCAGAGACATTCCCCATACCTTATGTACATGATATGTATACCCAGGGCTGAATATTACACAATCCCAAGACCCGTAGAACTTCACTGGAACACACGAATATTTTACAGAGCAACACAGAGTATTAGTGACTAGAGTATTCATACCAGCAAAGCAATCTGACAGGGCGGTGGACTGAAATCAAACCCATTATCCAATACGGTCTTCCCCGGACACTTGTAATCTGTAAAATGACAGGAAGAACGGTCTTGGTTTTGCAGTCCCCAAGCAACATACACTTTTACAAACTTGTCTTCCTCACTGGGATTAAATGCATTCTCTCGAAGCCGCTTGACATCGTACCAGTTGGTTCCAGGTCCCATGATATCAATCTAAAGGACAATATATGACAATATATTATAGGTACACGTTTGTGAATATGGATCAGTTAACGTTTTATAAAAGATGTGAGAAATAAATAGGCAAATGTAAAGATGTCTGTTTTTAAATCTTAATTTGTGCACCCCGTTCAGAGAACTAGACTAACTTTTAAAAGGTTTGGAGGTAAAACAAGGTTCCTTTCTTTTCTTTATTCTTTTTATAGTACTTATTCTTCTAAAAAATGAAAATGTTTCTAGCTTTTTCTCCCCACCCCCCACCTCCACTATTTCAAAAAGTTATCATTAGTTAAGGACGGAGAATTTAGCCTCTGTAATAACTGTACTGCTATTTCAAAAGAAATGTTGCATGTTGCATATCAAGCCCGGGACGTTGTAAATACCATCAGTGAAGTGTCTAGTTTTTCTAAAATTTGTCTGTACGTTTTTCCTCTATATTTGCTTCTGAGTTGACATTATTTACTTCAAGATATTAATACCTTTCAAGATTAGTAAGCAAAAAGCACTGAAAATGCAGCATGKAACATGGAACATCGAACATGCAACAAAACCTTCATCAACCATTTTTGAAGTAGCTGTATACTGTAAAGTGTGCATATATTAAACAAATGGCAAAGGTTAACAATAAAGATATTGAAGTTCTATTATCATAGATTTACCTGCTCATCGTCTGGTTGAAGTTGTACCGCGAATACAATCGATACAACGACAAAAGAGATCGTTATGACCATCAGAATCCATCGCACCACTTTATGACCAATAACCTTTTCGTAAAAAGGCCCCCCTATAAAGTTAGCGATAACAAGTGTAGCATCTCTTCGTTTCTCCTTATCTTGCTGTTGGACAAGCTCGGTTTCCTTATTTTCATCACTGTTGCTCACTCTGTTGGTCCTACATGCGAAGCATGGCCACTTCCAGTCTTTCCAGTAGAGTTCATAAGTGATGATAACAGTTGGAAAGAATAGAATGACAGAAACATAGTTCACCATGACTATGAGTGCCGAGAAGACACCAAAGCTCGACACAGCGAGTAACGGAGRRAAAACGTTGGTCAAAAATGCGACGAATGTGGTGAAGGATGTGATGAACATAGCACCAGCGGCGTGCTTGTATGTGTACGAGAAGCGCTGAAGAAGGTTTGGGAATCCTTTTTCCTTGGATGCTCTCCAAGTGTCATAAAAGACAAAAACGTCATCAGCTCCGATACCCAAGATGATGAACACCGAGAGAACGTGAAAGATCCCGACATAGCGAAAGTCTAAGAGGATACGGTAAACGATGTTAGCTCCGAAGAATGAAGAAAAAATACTGAACACGCCCCAACCAGTTATCCAGAGCGACTGCGTTTGTAAGATCATGAAGAGGAATATGAAAACGACACTTCCACAGACGAGAAGTAAGTCCCAGATAACTTGCTTTTGAACCGAACTCATCATCAGCGTCTGCATGAGGTAGTGAATCTTGAGAGGACCAACTCCATTTGTGTATGCATCATCCAAGATGAGACCAAATGCATCCCCAGCAAGTGTCTGGGCCTTGTCTAGTTGGTCCATGGGTCTATCATGGGTGTCAGCGTATCCCTCAAAGGGGAATCCTGTAAAAAAGATTGACCTAGTGATTGGAGAAGTTAATTCATTGGAGCTGTTCTTGAAGTCCTTCCCAAGATGGTAGCTCATCGAGGATGTCATCAACACGTTGGCTGCTTTAAGAACTTGCGGAATTTGCTGAAATTGCGGATCAAAGAAAATCGGATTGAAATGTCGATAGGTACCGTCAAAAAACCGTATCACCGAAAAGGGAAGCGAGCACCGCTTATTTTCATCCATTAAACACAATTCCTTTTGATATATTGAATTATTATAGAGCTTTCTTTCGAAAACCTGAATAGTTTCTAGAGCTTCCTTGGTAAAAATGTTGTTGCCATTTTTATTCTCATAGAACACTTCCAGTACTTCATGCCTTGCCGCCCTTATTCCTTGCTTGTCATTTGGGTTTTTGAAAATCCATGTCATTCTGGAGTCACTTGCAGCAAACTTCCACGCGTCTCCTTGAAGTTTGACATCTTCGCTTTCAAGCTGCATTGGAAGTTGCGCGAAGTCAACGGGCAAGATGTCGTAACCAGAAAAGTTTAGAAGACCAGTGAATAAGATAGCCATGATGTGACAACCTAGGGTTAAAGCTGCCGAAACAATAAACAAACACTTTTAATAATAGTCCAAAAAATAAAAAATTCTAATTTGTGTAGTTTTTTACGTCATAACTTAAAGCTCTATATATGCTACTTGTGAGTGTAGGACTGAATACCGAACGTTTGACGCACAGCGACGAGAAGATGCGCACACCACCATCAATTACCGCCACCCGGTTAGCTCAGTTGGTAAGAGCGTCGGTCTGTTGTGCGGGAGGTCGTGGTTCAAGCCTCGGCCGGACCAACACTCAGGGTCTTAAAATAACTGAGGAGAAGGTGCTGCCTTTGTAATAATATCTGCAAATGGTTAGGCCTTCAAGTCTTCTCGGACAAGGACTTTAAACCGTAGGCCCTGTCTCCTAACCCTTCCTAACCTACAGTAAAAATGGGGGACATAAAAGAACCACTGAGGACGTAAAAAGAAACCCTGGCAGTGACCACCCTCAATGCCTACACTTCCTACTAACCATCTCTCATGCTTGTAAATTGCATAAAGCAATCTGTCATTCACAACTCCATGTAAAGCGCCTTTGATTATATCCACATATTAAAGGGCGCTATATAAATCATCATAAATCATAAATCAATGCTATGAATGAACTTTAAATGATGCGTCAAATTAAAATAATACATTTTCCATTTTAAATTTATCATATTTCCAGAGCTGAGACTTTTTAAAAAATTCTGCCAAGCCAAAATCTTAAGGTTTAAAATAGACCAGAAAAATTTTTTTGGTTAAAATTTAAATACTTATCAGTTTCCATTCTTTTTTTTTACGCTGTCGCGGCCAGTCAGAATCTTCGCTCATGCAAGTTCTATTCCTACCTGTGTCGCATCAGTAATGCAACGATAATACTCAATGTAAAGCGCCTTTGATTATATCCATATAGAAATGGCGCTATATAAATCATAAATCATCTTCATAAAATAATTGTATTTTTAAATTTCAAAATATCCAAAAGTTCTTAGATGTTTTGTACCACCGTTAGTATTTTGTGTTATGCTTTGTGACTTTTGCCGGAAATTTAGAGCCGGCTTGATTTCTGTGACCAAACTCGAGAACATCAAGACGCAATAAACTGCGGCAATAAAACGCGCCATCTGATCAGTTTTCCAGAGTCGCGCAAAAAATATTATATCTCTCAGATAAAAATATATTTTCTAGAATTGAAATTTAAGGTTTTTCGGACAAGGGGGTTCTTTAAGTTTCGCATGGAGCTCCACGATATACAACTTGATTGATTGCCTTATGACATAATTCCATACATAATTCCATATTCCACACGTTGATTGGTAGAATAGTATAATTAAGACTAGTTATGTCCTTCCTAACCTACGCATGAGGTAGTAGCTAGCCTTTTAACTCAAGATGACCAAATTGACGAAGCTTGCCATTAAAGCAAGAGACAGATGTTTTTACTTGGCTTTGAAGGCAGGAAATGTGATAGATTTCAAGTGGAACTTTCACTAACAAACGAGGGCCTCGTTCTTCTTTCACCCATAAAAGCCTAACAATTCTATTTTTTTTCTATTTACACGGACGTTAAGCAATCTAAAAAAAAAAAACAAACAAAAAACAAAGACCCCGCGTACTATATTTATTTAGGAACCGGTATTTCACAAAATATATAATTTCTGTCGTAAGTAACAGGGAGCCCAATTTAGATAAAAGTGCTCGATAAAATTAAAATCAGGAAAATATATAAATTATTGAAAAAAAAAGGGGCAGAGGCTAAGAATCGGTGCTACTAAATAATACAAGCGAACAGGAAAATTCAAGCAAAAACGCAGTACAACTATAGTCGCTGTGTATTGAAAGAAGTCCAAATATATTAATTTACTTTTCGTTTAATTTAATGCCTTGGTTGAAGGCAAAGCCAAACATATTAGGCCAACCATTGCTTTACTGATTGAGAAAATTTGGTGGAAGAAGATTGCATCTCTCAGGACCAATTAAGAAGCGGTAAAATCCATCATCCCAACCAAACATCTTCTAATCTAAATTGAGACTTGTTATATTTGAATATTTCGATCCTTAATCCTGCTGGCCTTGGTGTCATATGTGAGTAGAGATTTTAGTTGGCTCTCTCCTGTGTTTCAAGTTTTTTTCTCCGAGTTTTTCGGTTTTCTTCCCGTAGTAAAAATCGACTTCTAAATTTCAATTGGATCTTAAGATTTAATAGAGAGTTAAAGATTCTCGTTTACGGTAAAGGCGAAACCAGCCAGTAAAGATAGATAAACAAATGAATATTTGTGTTTGGTGAGAACGTTTACGAGTTAAAGCGAAATACGAGAAAACGATGAACATTTCTGCCGTTATGGGAAGGAAAAACGGGAATCTTCATCTGTCTATTCTCGATAGTGCTAAACTCTTATTTTCTTTCGCACTATAATTAGAAAATATTGGTTAATATGAGTTGCCACTTGTATTAGAAAAAAACATTTATTGATATTGTTCAGATTTGTCTAAATATAATTAAATTCGGGCTGTTTCAAAAGAAGCTGATTTATCACTAGTTTCACACTGAAATTTGAATGGAACTGGAAAAAAAAAATCCAATTTCCGAAGATGGGATCATCAGGACAATATAATCTGAAACCCTTTATTTTAAGACTGATTTACACGGTACGACTTTCCCTCACACATAATAAAAGTATACTGTATTGCAATATCCTTGAGGCAAGTTTTAGCTGAACTTACAGTCGTATAAGCAAGTTTGTACAGTCGATTTTAAAAATACACAAATCAATCCGTGTTACCTTTACCATGTATGCACTTATTTGAAAGTTTTATTTTTACAAACTTCACGTAGATGGGAAGGAAAAACTAGTTGAAAAAAACGGACGGGCCAAGAAATGAAAATATTGTGTGTGAATTTACGCAGGCATGGTCGAGGACAGATAATAATAATAATAATAATAATAATAATAATAATAATAATAATAATAATAATATGATTCTATTAATAATAATAAAGCAAATACGAACAAAACAAGTTAAAACTATATGGGATGTTAAATTTACTAAACTAAATTGAACATATTTATTGTTCTTCTAACCCAGAAAATAGGTTCCAAAAATCTAAATATTAACTATAAAAATTGAGAGAAAAAAAAAGATTTACTTGTAAAAAGTTAAAACTGTTAAAAAAGCACAGATTAACGTGATCTAAGAACTAGAGGAACAATAATCTAAAGGCAAAGATGTTATTGCAAGGAAACAAGAAAAATGAAGAATCATTCGTTCGGTTGCAGGTGCAAAGGTTCGGGCTGTTACGCAATATCAGCAAATCGAAAAAAAAAAATTTATCCCTCCGGTTGAAAATAATACTATGTTACAGGATAAATTTAGATTGTTTACGGAATAAGGTACAAAACAGGTACGTTGGACATGTTTTTCGACGAAGACCTAAAGTATAAAGCCATTCTTTGTCCAAATTATCCATGATACGGTCACGCGGATAAGTTCTGCGTTTTTCCACGTTCGAGTTATATTTTTGCCCTGATTCTCTAAATACAAAACTCAGTTTTAATCTAGGTGAACATGCAATTTAATATAAATGACAATCGAAGAAGCTTAAACWGTTATTTCTTGACTTGACGTATTAGAATTTTCATTCGTGGACTTTTACTTACCAAATAAGAGTTTGGGTCGCTTCAATACAAGCCTGCAGTAAGCAATTTCCAGAGCCATCGTCTACTTGTTTCAAAGGAAAAATAAAACTTTCAATGGTTCTTACTTAATCATTCCCGAGAAAATGAGTATGAAGATCTGGTTTTCAGCAGAAGAAGAAGGAAAGAGAACAGTGTTACTAAGCTCAGTCAGATGGTGTTGTAATGAGATGCAAGTAGCCAGGTGGTGGAATTATAAAGAACAAACAGTATTCCACTATAATTATACAGCTCAACGCTTTAATACAATAAAATATATACTTGACCAAGAGAGCAATACTCGTCTACAAGGGCGATGAAAATGTCCATTCACAATACTTCAAAGATGTTGTGGTCTCGTCGTTTAAAATTTTTAAATATGGGCTCAGCAAAACTGACACAAAAGTCAAAGCAGTCTTTATTTTTGCACTTGTATAGCATAAGTACGACAAATGTGCTTGACTGAGGGTGACAGGAACAATTGTGTGTAAAGCTACCATTACTAGTAGCGCATTGAGAGAAAGACGATGGATGGAGAAGCACCCACGATCTGATTAACCCAACGAAAAAAACTGTTGTATCAGTAAGGACTTGTTTAACTTGGCTTAAAAAATTAATTCACATTGATTACACTGGATAAGAAATAAATGATGACGGGATTATATCTAAGGCATCTTTTGTGCTGCTAATGGAAGGTCTTTGAGCTGAGTTACGTCATTAGCGCCAGAAGTAGCGACGTCTTAGATGATCAAGATTTTAAGACTGTTATTGTTTCTACGATGGAAGTAAGCTTAATGTTCAGTTCCTGAACTCCTTCTAATAGTTCGGGTTTTATCTCGCCTGTCACGGAATCGGTGTGGTGTTTCTGAAGCAAAGAATCGATTGAAATTAACAATAGGAGGGTTTTGCATAATGAAAATATGAGGAAAGCTGCGCACAGACCCCACACTGTGAAATGTGATAATCACTGATGAAATAAAAGTCGTAAACTAACAAATTAGCTAGTAAAAATAAACAAGGAAACAGACCAACAAGCAAGCAAACAAACAAGCAAACAAAGAAACAAACCAAAAACAAAAAAAAACAAAAAACAAACAAAGCAAGCAAGCAAGCAAGCAAGCAAGCAAGCAAGCCAGCAAGCAAACTATTTGCAAACAAGGAGATAAACGAACAAAAGAACTAATCGCATACGTACGAGTAGTTTTAGCACTACTGCTATTCTCACTGAATAAATTATCACCAAGCAGTATAAATTAAGTCAATTAACGTCGTTTGAAGCTTCGAAGGACGAATTTTGCTCGCTGTCCCCACCACCACCACCAKCCATAAGCCAACATTCTAGTGCTCTATGCATGCTGATGAAACACAGGCGGGACTTGAGGCGTTTATGCTGACGGCAGGTATTGTGGGACAAAGTTTAGGTTTGTYGTGCTCCATTTGTTTTGTTTTACCGGTGCAAAGAGAATKTCAAAGATATCATTTGTACTGAGAGCTCACGTGGCGTGCTTGGCGACTTCTAGGAAGCAGACAGAGAATATTGTGCCTGGAGTTCTGGGAACTCGGCTAGCTCACAAGACGACTTGATAATGTTTGTACTTGGAGTTCAGGGAACTCGGCTAGCTCATGCACGAGAAGACTCGAGAATCTATATTTGTGTGGGGTTTGGAGTCCAGGGAACTCGTCCAGCTCCAACAAGCTCGAAAGACTTAAGAATGTTTGTGTGCCTGCAGTTCAGGGAACTCGGCTAGCTCACAAGACGACTTGATAATGTTTGTACTTGGAGTTCAGGGAACTCGGCTAGCTCACGAGAAAACTTGAGAATATTTGTGTGCCTAGAGTTCAAGGAGCTCGGCAAGACGCAGACTTCGATATTCGTGCTCGAAATACAGAATTTTCGGGTTCAAATGGGMTTAAATTCTGGAGTCCATCCCAGGGCATTKAATTTACCGGCCATGAGTTGATGCGTTTTYGTAAACATTTCATTCCAAAACTGTGTAAACCACGAGRGAATTAGAATATGTTAAGTGTCGTGATTAGGGGATTAAGAAGTTCATGATGGCTATTCAGAATGTGCACTCTGTGACCGCCAATACTTCCACGTTTTTTCGCGCACTTTTTGTTATTTGTTCACGGTTCCCTCCCACTTTCTTCGTTGACTTGGGGGGGTCTGCTCAGTGCCTCTATTCTGGACCAAGTTCAGAGACTGAGTCAACGAAAGGGTGGGTCCCTGCCTAGGGTCTCCTAGGTTTTCATTTATCGTGTAATGGATTTGGAGGGTCCCACCCCTTCGTTGGGCTTTGTTCCTTTGGTCACATGTCCCAGCGCCGATTTTACACCGATTATACAGGATATTTGAGTAGTGGATATAGATCTTATTAACCGAGTGCGAGGTCCGTACCGTAAGTTATGGACCGAGTTTTTTCCACTGCCTTATGGCCCAAGCGCGTAGCGCGCGGGCCATAAAAAAGTGGAGAAAACGAGGATCCATAACTTACGGTACGGACCGAGCAAACGAGGTTAAATAAGATATTTATTATATGGCAAGGCATTGAGATAAAA